TTCTAGCGTTCCAGTATGTCAAAATATATTGTCAAGACCTTTAGTTCAGCCTTATTAATTATTCACTACCTATCTATCATGAGATGAAAAGCCATTTCATGTTATTTTTAAGATCATAGGTAATTAAATCACATATAACTGTGTGCGTAGAACCCATAGATCACATATGATTTTTTCTGATTCTACAAACAACTGTAATATTGAGTATTAAAAAATAAACATAATCATCGTGCTTGTTTATCTATAGTGTAATGACCTATTAGAAAATCAAGACTAACGACTATGACAGTTTATAACACATCTCATGCATCTAAAGTTTAAATGAAGTAGTGGCCTATGAATTGTGGATCTCTCCAATATGTGATTTAAACAAAATGATAGTAAGGATACCTTGCAGTTACCCAATGATATTTTGACTTTCGTTCTATGGTACCTTGGCTGCATAACTCATCGGCTTTACGATTATAATTATTAGTTGTATTAATTTGGCATTATATACTAATAGTTGAAAAATAGTATTAATTTCCTAAAATGCACTTTAGAACCGCCCACCATTACATAAAGTAATATTATGTTATGTATTGGTATATCCCTATATCATATATACTTAATTGATAGCTCAACTTAAAATATTTGAACATGTGTCCAATTTTTGAATTCATCAGTTTATATGTATTTCCGTCGAATGTCTTCGTATTCTATTTATACTGCAAGTTTTTTTGTTGAAATTTTTTAAATTAATGTTGTCATCACCCGTGTTAATTTTCCATTCCTGGAACATATTGCTTGGAACTGGAACTGGTGCTGTGAAGAGCACTTGCGCGTCCATAACAAATTAGGTCTGTGTGCTTCAGGAGTTGAGTTTTCTCAACTAATGGTTTTTGGAAATTAGGGATACGTTACTGATGGTTGGGGATGGGTAGAAATTGTTATTATGTTCTTAACCTCCATATGAATTTAGGAACCAAAATCGAGTAGCCCATTCAAGAACACTGCTACTTATCAATATTTATAAAATTAATTACTATAAATCCAGTTAGACAACTAATCATATTATTAGTAATTGCACTACAATTATTTGATCATATTATTTATTATGCTATAGTTGAGAAGTCTAAATAGTCACTAACAAATAACAAAAAAAAAAATAAGAGGAAAATTAGTGAAAATATTTAAAAACAAATTGGAAAATGCTTTTATTTTTGGGAAGTTGCGTGCATATCTGATGGATGCCAACATTTCGAGTCAAAGCAAAATTTGATTAATTATTTTTGTTCTGTTGCTGCTGTAATGTTTTTCTGTTTAAACAGTGACTCAATCAACAAACCAATTTTTCCTCAAGACTTTTCAATATTTCAGTCCAAACAAAATTGCATTGAAAATACCAGTATTTCTCTAAACAAATTCTCTTGACTTCGATTGGCGTCGATTTTAAAGCAAAATAAACAAATGCTTTCTTTTTTCAACGTTTAACAAATGTTTTGCAACCGAAATCAGTTTGTTGATAATGAATAACTAAAAAGTTTGTTTCCTTCTGAGTTAGCCGCAAAAAATCGAATGACCGAGTTCCACTAATTAATCATCGCCAGCGAATCCAGAGATACGGCAAAAATTGATATGACGCGGGCGGTGGTTTCTTTCTCGTTTGTACAGAAAACAAAAGTTTTTAAATTAATTTATTTTGTACATTTTTTTTTTTGTTTATTTTGGCGGTTGTCAATGTAATTGAATTTAATTCGATTTTATTTTCGATTATTCGGAATTCTTACACATACTTGTCTTGTGCTTTACGCATTTAAAGTACTATTTTAATTGTATCTATCGACATATCATAGCATAGTCATAAAAGGGAATACTCTATTTTTTTAACAGATATCGTTTTCGATTACTCATACCAAAAGCATTTTGTGCTTTAATGTTTTCTAAGTTGGCTTTATCTTAGTTTTACTTCAAAAACTCATATGATACCCTATATATATAAAAACATATGTACAAGAGGGGAAAAGTTTATCAACTTAATTTAAACGATTTATTATTATTGACTTTTTATCTAAAAAAAACAATAATACCACCAAAAAAATTAGCGATGAGAAATATTAAACAAAATTGTAAAAGACATTGATGAACAACATAGTTAACGTTTCAAAAATGTAGCAAATTGACAAGCAGCCACACAGCAAATGGAACACCAGAAGGACATGGACATAGTGTGTGTTGAGAGAGAGAGACATTTTTACATTTGAACGCAAATTTTGGTTAGTATCTAATTTCGATTAGCTTAGCAATAATTGGAGATCCAGGAAATAAGCATGTTTAAATGGAATATGAAATTTGTGTTATACAATAGTAGATCATATGACTTCTTAAAACAATGGTTGTCAGATTATATTAGTAACATGGTATTGCAGATACGATTTAATCTATCCAAAATAGAATCTGAACATCAAATACTTATATTTCTAAACAATTCTTCAAATAGAAGTTTTGAGCGTCATAAGGTCGCTAAGGGAAACGACCTAGCAGATACGATTGCCAGAAAAGTCTCTGAAATGTATGTAGCCAACATATCAATATAAACCCCGGTGTTGTTGTTCGTATCAACCTAATCAAGTTATTAGATTTTCTTCTTTTTCCCTTTTGATATTAATATTTATTAAAAACGATTTCATACCAAATAATCTGAATAAAAATTCTATATTTCATAGTCTTTTGTATTTTTTGTTTTTGAAAATAAATAAATTACGTGGTTTCACACATAGGTAAACCCTTTTTATGTTTATTAAAATAATTGAATTTTCATAAAATTTAATAAAATTTGTTCCAAAATAAATATTTTTCAGTGGTTAAACTGCTATTCGGTGTAGTTTCACATCTCAGCGTGTCACACCTTGAAATACTTCAAGCTATACATGCTGTGTACCTCATGAATTTATACGAGTACGTGTTTTATCGAGAATGTGACCCAAAATACTCTAGGTTAGTTTCGTTGGCAGTGATGTCTGATGTCTGATGTTACCTAAGTTAGCAAAACCACAGAATTCCAAACTAAAATGTGTTGACAAAGTATTGTATCTCACAGCAAATGTGAGCTGCAAAACACGGTTTAACTCCAATTCAAACAAAGCCGCAACGAGTTCAGTTGCTGCAGTTGATACCTCAAATTACGAATAATTTTTTCGACATTTTTAGAAATAAAATTATTTCAATTTGAATATTTTTTTAGCTTTGTTGGTTAGTTTCACAAATTGGTTTCGTACAAGCATCTAAAATCTATTTTTTATGGAAGTAATTTTCGATCAGATTTTCTATTCTAGTTTCAATATAAGGTTGTATACGTACTAGCTTTTATCATTGAAATAATTTGCTATACGAACAAACTATTTGGCGATTATGAATATCTCATACGAATATGAGATTAGAAAAACAATTCTGAATATACAGTAATCCCCTCTATAACGCTATAGATTGGTTCCG